GTTTTCATGTCACGACTGCCATCCTATTTTGTACTGAAGGACAAAAATAAAGTCCATCTCATCTCTGTCCATAGAGACGAGACCAAAACATGGGGAAAAAAACGCTTTTGTGCTCACCAGCCCACTCTGCTGCTGTGATAGTGTTTATAATGTCAAGAAAAACCCAAACACAGTGATAAAAAAACCATCTCTATATGAAAATCAATAAAAATCCTTAATTTTGCTCGTATTTTTGAACAACACACACCCTCCGTCAGCCTCCAGTCGCATGTACAGATTCAGCAGCCTCAATGTTTCACACAGAAGTAAAAAAGAGTTGAAATTTTACAAATACATTAAATTTAGCCTTTTTCTATTACATGGAATACTGGTCTCAAGAGGTCCATGACACGTTGGTATTTAACATTTAATCTATTGGCCATGTCAGGTGCACGGCTGGATATGGAGAAGATTCAGAAGGAATAAATTATCATATATTATATGTGGGTGGATCAGAGGTTGTAAAAGTCGAGGCCAATTACTTTTGTGGCTTCATTGACCACAGATCTCTGCCTATTATGATGCACTGCCAGTTTGGTTATTGCCCCTTTGCGCAATTGTGTCTTGAAAGTGACAACGTGACCCTGGTTAGAGACTGCGGATGGATTTTACACAGTGTGACGGGGGGACATGGAAAATGTGGGTCATGGAAAATGTCATGGTTAAATTGCTGCACTGTAAAATCAAATAAGGTAAACCTTACTTGAAAAAAGCATACAAACTGATTGCACCTAAAAAATGTTGAGAGAACTAGGTGTCTAAGTTGTACTAACTAGTGCTTCCTTAGTAGAATACACTTATTTACAAGTTAAAGCAACTAAAACAGTTAAGTAGTGGGTACTTGATAACTACTCTCGACTTAGTAATGACTTCTCAGAATTCTCTACTCAGAAGTTCTAAGATATATGTACTTGAACGTAAGGTGAACTGGCTGACCAAATGCCTGGTTCATTAACGCTAACGTCAGCTAGCAAAGGGTAACAGTAAATACAACAGATAAACAGACAAAGTAGTCCGATAACTTACCTTATTATTCTCCAAAAAATAAACAAGGCAGGGCAAAAGTCGAGTCTGCAGTTTGCCCTCAGTGCGCCGACCTGTGTGCTGAACTGGTGTGTTGCAGAGTGGGAGATGGAATAGTAGGAATGAATGTGTGTTGCCTACTTATTGTTGTGAGTGAGCCAAACTCTAAATAAAGTAAAACGAATATCTATATTTACATTTTTCACCGTGCAGTAACTGTTACTTCCTAAAACAAGTCATCAGTGTATATTTTGATAGCCAAGTAAAGTTAACTAATTTATTATTAAGTCAGGGTAGCTGTATGATTTTCCAGTGTGGGATTGTGTGTTTTATAGAAGATATATTAAATGAGAATAGCCAGTTAGCCACTGTGCATCATTTAGCAAATTAAATAGATTCACATCTTGCGACCTGGGACGCCCCTGAAGTACACTGGGCTCATTGCTGTCCTCCCGAAACTAGCCAAAGCACTTGCTCTGTGACATGCTGCATTATTATTCTGCAATTTGCCATTAGAAGATGGCTAAATTGGGACCATAAAAGGAGGCATATGGTTGGCAACAACACTTAGATCAGCTGTAGCAATAAAGCAAAGATTTATGTATGCTAAGGGACCTAGTGTGTTCCAAGAAAACAGTCTCCACCACTGTACTGTAGGGCATTAAGAAAAGATGGTCCCTTCACGTCTCAGTGATGCTGTCAGATTCTCGGTGCACAGCTCAGGTATCTTAAACTTAAATACAACTGCTGTTGTGTCTATTCTGTCGTTTGTTTAACTGTGCTGCATACAATCACCACGGAAATCAAATTCCAAGCCAGCAATGTCCTCCCAACAGAGCAACATGTGGCTCTGTACCCACCTGCACAAACTTTGGTCTGAGGCTTCTTTCTGTCTACTGTGCTCCCCTGAAGAATGTTGTCTTTGTCTGAAGAATGAAGGTTTTTTTTTTTCAACTGTGAAAAGCTACTGTTAGTTAGGCAGCTATGGCTAACAGGAAGAGCCTCCTGCTGTGGTGGACTTTCCAATCGACCTTAGTGTCGGCTGTCTTGAAAAGTACATTCTCACTCCAACCGATGTGGCCATTCTACTCTAACCTCCCTCAACTATGAAATGACTCATACTTGCAATGCTTACGTTCACTGAATGCTTTTTTTCCTGTAATTGTCAGAGAAAACGCGAGAAACGGATAAAAAATGTACAGTTCAGCCTGTCTGTTTCCAGCAGACACATTTTCAAGGGCTGCGGCAGTAGTTAAAGCCTTCTTTTAATGTGCACATGTTGTTAGAGACAGAACATAATGTGCTCAGCTGAATAAAAAAGGAAAAAAAATGTGTGTATATATATATATAAATATATATATATATTTAATATCTTCACAAAAATGTAGACAGCAATATCTACAACAAAATACAGCCGAAAAAGTAAATTATGACTCTTGCAATTATACATGAAAACACATTCTTTCATCATGGCCCTTAATATTAAGATTTTTTTTTTTTTAGAAAAGAAGAATAAACCTTTTTTTCCTTTGGAACTGTTTGTTTCATTTTGCTTTACCTTTTAAAATTTTCATGTTAGGACTTTCCCTTACTTTTCCCTTTCTTTTTATCAAATGGTCTTTACATCATTTATGATGGAGTTTGCCAACATGTGCAATTATAAAATAGATCAATGATCGTGAGGCTGACATTGTGAAATTGCTTCACAAGCACAAAATATTTGCTTTAAGTGTTATGACGCAGTATTTGCTTCAAGATCATATTTATAACAATTCTTCATGATGTTACAAAGCAGCGAAAAATAAAGACAATGTTTCTGTTTTTTTTTTACTGGTAACTATTGGTAAAGGTTAAACTAGTCTCAGGAAACTTCACCTTTATGGATGATTAACTTACTTGTCTGGCAACTTATTATGCAGCTGACGCAACACTGTGTTTGATGACACAGATTCTACATTTCTGATTCACAAGATATCTTTTTATGATGAATTGATGAATACGTGGTTCAGAAATGTTATGAAAGAAGTATTTCTCTCTAAAGGAGCAAAAGACTCTTCACGTTGTTGTTTCTGCTCATTGAGCTTCTATGACTTCAAAGAAGTACAATGACAAAGAAGTACTGTGATGTTCTTTTTCTCTGAGAGAACCCCTGGACTTACATTGTCCTTCCCACAGTCTCTGTTCTATTTTAAAATAAATACTTTTTCTTTTCTGCGTTTGCCAACAATACACAGTCCAGGGATTTATGGATAAAGCCGGGTTCTGTTTCCACAGGAAAACTTTAGAGGTTTATGCACTGCAGGTGTTTCCGTGTATCATTTGTGGGATAGGTTGCATCGTTTCTAATGATCCCACAAACAATCCATGACATCACCTCTGAGCTTTATTTCCTCTGTTCTACAGCAGGTAGATAATAGCAGCGAGGCAGTAAGGTAGCAGCTGGGAGTGAAAATTGTCCTTTTCTTATGAACACTTTACTAAACAAAAACAGCCCTTCTTGGGGGATTCATCATCGCTGTCAACCACTTTTTTTTTATTTATCTGAACCTATGAGCTATCATTCAACAGGGTTGTATTTGTGAGATGAAGGATGGCTGTAAATTACCATGCCTGACATATTGACAAACCCGTTTGTTTGTCAAGAGTGCTGTCCTATAGCTAACGGCAGGCGTGGTGAAGTACAGTGGGTGGAGTAATCATTAAGAGGAGAAGGTGGAAAAAAACAACAAGAAAAAAAAACATAGGATGAAAAAAAGAAACTGCTGATAGGACTTGATCATTACTGTGTGGTATATGGTTATTTTATTGTATTGAGGTTTGAAAATTATACTATACTACACTGCATCTGTAAAAATGGCAATGAGGTTCAAAACACACCGGTATTACTGCACAGGAATATTTGCCTTCTGGGTGCCTTTAAGTTTTGCTCTGTAAGTACTTTAAATGTTTACAGTATCTTTTATTGTTCTCCACATACTTGTATGTAAAATAATTTGTTTTAGATTTCACCCAGCAATACCAATGAATATGTTATAATATTTAAATGCATATAAAAACTACTGTACTGTTATGTGTGATACAACCTAAAGCATGTTGATGCTATAAGTCTATAAGAGCTTTTCCAAACTGTTACTGAATTTACACCTGCCATCACTGTTTGTAATCAGTTTTCCTCTAAATATGATCTAATTTTCCAAAATGGACATCATATTCTAGACTAGACTAGAAACTAGATAAAACTATGTCTGTTGTTTTCCCCTGCTGACTTTTACCTAAAGTGAATTTTTGTGAAGTACAAAGACTTACAATAGAAGTCCATTACTGTGAATGTGATTACATTATTGAGGCTGTCATAGGTTTTTCTTTCTCATGTTTATACTTTTAAATATCACATTCTGTGCTATTTCTCCTGCAGAATAATAACTGTAGCAGTACATGCATACTTTTACTATAGATCAAATATAGCAGCTTATTATCTTTCAATATTTAATATATTAAATAATATATTTTGACCCTTCAACCTAGCTGTCATAATGACATTGTGCTGTCATCGTATATTTAATTTGTAATTAGGAGTATGCCTTCCTTTGTAAGAATGCATGATGAATTATGACACGTGATGAAAAGTTGACACATTGACAGTATAAATAAAATACTGGAAATACTAGTAATAGTACTACTAATACTAGTAGAAATATTAAAAATAAATCCTCTTCAGTAAATGGTGACTTTCCTATGGCTTTTGCTGTCATTGTTTGTGTCTTTGACCGCTGTAGCCAACCAAAGAGCTAACGCGCTTGAATGTGTGCATGTTTACAGGGATGAAGACCATAGAACACTAAGTTTCCCATCTTCTCTGTCATGGAGTGGAGACCCTCTGGATCACGGCAAAACAAGGTTTTTATCACCAAACACACACTTCATAGCCCTACAAAACATTATTGCGTTGGGTATCAAAAATCCCAAATGTAGCTAATTATAGTTATTTTTTAGACCAGCTGGGTAAGGCTGGAGAGACATGGAGTGTCAGGCAGTCAGGCTTCAGCTGTTGACGTGTAAAATAGACAAGACTGAGGGCTAAGTTGAACTTACACTTATTTGTAGAGTTGAGGAGTGTACTACATTAACATTTAATCATTTTGATTCATGGACTTGGTGAAACCACTTGCTCTACGCTCATGTTTAAAATCAAATAACACGCCGAGTTTGCGCTTTTTGAGCCAGAACTGCAGGCAAGATCCTGATAAGTGGGTGGAGATAGAGTTGAGGATAAATAAAATATTCATAGGTCCACATAGAGTAAATGATGCAAAGGTGCTGAGTTGCATCTGAGGCATGATTAGTCATGAATTGATCTTTGTTGCATGGGAAAATACACACAACAAAAGGCTCATTTGAGGGCTGGAGATCGACTGTAAAGGAGAAAACTTTATATGTGCAAAATCTCATCTGTTTCTTTAATTTTGTACAAGGCCATTCAAAATATTCAGTCCATTGAACATAACATTTAAGACCATCAGAACAGTGACCATGGTAGATTTTAGTTGGACTTTGAGTTTACCAGCAGAGCTGTATTTGTGAAGAGCCTGGCTTCACAGCTCATCATTGTGCAGTGAGAGCAGAAGGAGAAGGTATGAGAGTGCAGGGGATTTTGTTCAAGTAGATTTTCATTATAATAAACAAAGAGGAGACATTTGAAAACAACTTAATATAATTACCAGCTTAAATATGTATGTGTTCTTGCTAAGCAACTAAAATATAACCTGATCTGGTGGTTGTACCTGTTGATATTTTCATCTTTAGCAAAGAATAAAGAACAAAGTGTGGATTTTTCATTCAGTCATAAACTGTGTAACAAAGGTCCCAAAATGAGAGAGTCTACTCTGAAGCTCCTTATCTGGCTGTCTTAGTCTGACCTACAGGGATTAAATCTGCTTCTGTGTCAGCCAGGCAAACATGTCTGTTTCACTTGAAATGTTGTGTTCCCCAGAGGTAACTGATGCTCTTTCTATACTGTACATGTTTGTGGGTTCCTTCCAGGTACTACATATTGTTGTGCAAAAACATGCAGGATTGGGATAATATTTTACTTTGAATTGATAATTCATTTTAATCTGCTTAATGACAGAGTAGCTGTGGAATTATCTTGATTAAATTCGAAATATGAAAAAAAAAAGTTTATATTGATAGAGCAGAAAGACAAATAACAGCATGGAGTTGGTAGCAGATGAATGCATTTCACATCCGGTTCGTTGTGTGATTCATCCAAATATTGAAATTATTAATGTGGGAAAAAGTAAAAAAAACTGCAAAACTATAGCTTATAATATTGCTATTCATGGTTGGTGGATTTTAGTTAGAGTTTAGTTAGAGTTTCTGTCAAAAATTCTCTGAAGTTGAAACACCCAGAAACCGGCCAATGGTATGTTAAGCTCAAGATGCTTTGGTGAAAGGAAAATCCTTTCCCACAGTGTGTGTAAATGACAACGTATGGTATGTCTTCGTTTTATTTCTAATGTAACCACTATGAACGCAAATGTTGACACCTGTTTGGAAATAATATATTTTAAGGCAATGACAGTTTTTCCCCCACATTCCCACTTGGGAACTGTGAAAGAGGTATTAAGATGCTTCAGGTTGGCATTCTGTTACTGACTGGACCTGTGAAGATCAGGAAAAAGAAGAGGGCGATGAATGTACCCCATTACCACCGAGAGATGAAGGAGGTACTGTGGTTATTGGAAACAGAGACATTTGAGAGGAGGGGGTGAGGAGATGCGAGACAGAGAAGGATGTAGTGAACTTCTGTCCCATGAAGAATAGGAAAACTATTCGTTTTCACGAGATATCCCGCATGCATCCAGAGGAATGTCTGCTGCTCTGTCCTAAGGCTGCATGTGGAAACCCCGCTGTTGTTGTTGCTGCTGTTGTTGTTGTTTTAGTTTTGTCATAGTTGTGAATCGATGAGAATCGGGAGGCAGAACAGCTGCAGGAAGAAGTGAGTTTCTCCGTCAATTTTTACATCATCTCTTTATTGGAGGGGAGACAGAGAGACATGCATAAAGAGATACAGGAGAGAGGGAGAAAGAGTGAGGGGAGATGGGGTAGTTCAAGTCAGCGAGAGAGAGAGAGAGGCGGAGGGAGAGGGGGAGGGAGCAAGAGGGAGAGAGAGAGAGAATGAGAGACTCTGTGCAGCCAATCTCCTCTCTGCCAGTTCTCAACTGCGAAGCCAGAGTCACAGACCGACGGGCATCATCAGCGCCTCCCTGCAGTTCATTTCCCTCCCCGAGTCTCTCCTCACTCTCGCTGCTGTTCTGCTGACTTCACACCGGCTGTGAAGATGCTGCGGCGCCGTCCTGTCCGCGGAATGACGGTGCTTTTGCCGGTCACTCTGTGGATTTTCTGCTTTGTCAACATTGTCTACGGAGCTTTACCAACATCCCGTAAGTTTTTTTGTGTTAAATCGGTGCCTTGTTCAGAGGTGTCATAAAGTGTTTCTCGGGAGGGAAGGCAGAGAAAGCATGCGTGTCTGTGGAGCTGACCTGTGTAGATGCTGCAGGTCTTCCCACGGTGATGCCAGCTGGCGCTCTCCGGTGCTGAAGAGCCAGGCTGCAGCAGGGATGGATCACGCAGCCAGATCGGGCTTATCTTTAGAGTTTACGCATGTTTACATTTCAAAATCTCTGGTAAACTGACGTCTGCGACCGGGATTATCAGTTGTTTTCATCGCTGGCGTTGGAGTTGCTGAATATTTGACCCGTGTCTCAGTGTGTTTGCTGTTGAACATCTGGTTGGAGTGTTGGTTCAAGACAAAGTTTGTACCCAGCTGACGATGAGACGTTAATTTTATTTTATTTTTTATGATGAAGCGCTGCTTTTGAGCATCATTTGTTAAACTGTTCGTTTGTGCTCTCATCCTTACATTATTTATAAACTAAAACAATGCAAATGAATAAACAAACAATTCTTGCCCTCTGTACATCGAAGCAGCTGTGACCTGGAGGCAAGTCAATGTTTTCACATCTTCATCACTGAGGCCAGTTTCTTTCTGTGTAAATCAAGTTTTAATGAGTCTCTTAATAATTCTAAGATCTGGGCGTTGAACCAACATTTTTCCCTCCAGAGCTACTTTACTTAAATTTACTTGTTAAGATAAAGAGGTTATAGAATGATTTATATAAGCCCTATTGTGTTTATTGTTTGGATGATTGGCTGTAATAACAAGCAACAACATGCAATTTCAGTGTTGTATTTACACATTCCATGTTGTTTTAATAGTCTCAGTCGCATATTCCAGGGGAGCTGGGGAGTTTATCATAGTCTACATTACACGCCTATAAGTAGTCTGTTTAATTTGCTCTCTTGTGGGTTCCTCCCCCTGTGCTTTCTGCATCTGATAGTTGAAAACCCTAATGTGCCATTAAACGTGTTATTGCGGCGCTCATCACTGTTGAAATGGGGACCATTAGCTTTGGTTCTTTATTTCATTGGCAGCCTCTCATGCACAGTCCGTTCGGGGCGTCGTTACGATCCTGCTGACGGTGACGGAGGCTTCAGTGAGACTGATTCCCCCAGGTTTCATGAATGTGTCCGGGGACGCGCCTAATTAATCATCCCGCAGGACAGACACCGGCGATGAGGCGCTCGGGGTCGTTCGTGCACGCGCGCGCGCGTAAGCCAGTGTGTGTGAAAGAACAGAGAGAGAAAAGAGAAGGAGAGTTTGGAGGAGGTGTAGCTCCGCGTTTTCTTCTCTTCGGAACCCTTTGCTCAGTGGAGCGAGGCAAACTCGCGGCCCATTGGTTGCACGGTGGAAAGACTATTTATAAAAGTTCATTGATTTCTGTATGGATATCGTCCGTCCTCCTACATCCTTTAATTGGCAGGTCTGAGTGGGTCAGCATCAGCGTCCCTGGAGCAAGGAGACATTCAGTGTCTTGTTAAAGACAGTTCCGCTTTGGGGCTTGAACAAGGCTGATTTAAAGACTTGTAAAACATTAAATTTACACTGTAGCCAACAGCTTGATCTATGCATGAATTACTGTATGCTGTATCAGATTATTTCATACAGTTCAGTTTGTGTGGGGATAATTATAATCCCCATGAGTGTAAAAGCAGAAATAATCTCGGGAAATGTAAATTGACATTCAATGCCAACCTGTATCTTAACATGTCCTTCCTCTCATATACCATCATTTGGCATTATGAGCCTAAAAGTGTTATAGGACTTAGTGGTATGAATCCTTAAATAGGCACAGACAGCCGAGGGTCACTTTCCTGTCCATTTACTATTCATGTAGACTTATTTTTGGTATTCCTCTAAAGCAAGTATTTTGGACTTTAAATAACTTTACCAACTAAAAACTTCAAATGACTCTTCTCATCCTGCCTTTGAATTAAGTATTGTGCCATCACGGAGGTTAAAATCACTGTTGCAAACAGTACCTCGTGCAACGGTTCCATTATTTTATCTTTATTAGACAAGGGCACACTTTGGTTAATGAGAGGTGAAGAGGGTTTTGTATTTTTCTTTTTTCTATTTTTTTTCCTTCTGCCTTGACACTCCAGGACACAGTGAACTGAGTAATTAGGTCCTGTGGGAAACTAATAAAAACTCTGCTTGGACTGTCAACTGATTGGTCTGCTTTGCAAAACTTTGCATGGATCACATTTTTATGAAATCTTTATTGGAACTGTACAGCTCAACTTGCAAACGGAGCACTCTGCTACAGTATCCTAACAAAGTCAGTGTCTAAAATGCCCTGACATGACCCCAAGAAGGGAAGCACTTTCCAAACTTGAATGTTCTACAGGTTCTTGTGGAAATGGTTTGACATAGTATGAGTATTGTATTTCTCATTATACAATTATAATCTAATAATTGTATTACCACACTGTGCTCAGTGAACCACGGCATTACCTCTGAGTGTACAGGATTCTTTACAGGGAAGGGAGGGGTTTAATGTCTGTACTCAATAATTGAGAAGTTTTTCTTTTTTTATAAAGGCAGTTCCGTATCTTAAGAAGACTGTGAGTACAGGACAAGATTCTGAAAGTGTGTGTGGGTGGGTAGGTGTGGGGCAGGGTAGCAAGCTTGTGTGTGTGTGTGTGTGTGTGACAGTCATAAATGTGATGTTGTATTGGACCAGCAGGACTGACTTTATCCTTCCTCAGTGGCCAGACGTTCGACACTCGGGGGAACAGACAGTGTCATTGTGACCAATGGTCTGAGGCAAAGCACCGAGGGTTAAAAAAGATTAACATTTCCATCTTACCAGTGGAGACACCCTTACACAGTAAAAGTCAATGGACTGGTTGACCCACCGACTGTGTTTCATCTCCCTGGTGCACATAAAAGGCTGAGGTACTGTAAGTGTACTAATGTAGGGCAAAAGAGAGGACCTGGAGCAGAGGGAGATTAAATCATATATGTATATTTTATGCTTTTGTCTGTGGATCGGACTTTATTTAAATATTCAAGGCCAGTCAAGGTTTTACAAATGCTTTCATGTTGAGCTGTAATCTAAAGATTTGCACTGATTCTAATGTGGCCTGAAGCATCTGTCAGCTTTATGTCACCCTTCAGAATCATTTCAATGGTTTAACAGCGCTTTCTTTTGCTGGTTTCTAAATGAAAACAACAAAAGAAGCGAGTGTCAGATCACTGAAAATCTCATAAGCAGAGAGGTTTAGATACACAAATGCAGATGTATCGGGCCTTCCAGCAGCTGACGATGGGTGTCTTCTCATCTTCGTTGTACTCCAGCTGTACAGTGTAATGACTTGTCACTGTACAATATGTTAATTTGCCATTGTTGTAGTGCTTTCAAAGCAACATTTTACACCACCCACTATGATGTCTCATAATAACTGGGACTTTAAATGAGATTTAATTTGCAGTTCTGGTACCTATTCTCCTGATTGGAGTGCTTTTCACAGACTATGCAAAAGATACGTAGTATGTCAGGAAATGATAATTAAAGGATTTTAGCTCGTTGTTTTCGGTCATTAAAGATAATGTCGGCTTAAGATTCATCAGTTTTTCTTGACACTCCATTTCAAGGGAGAGAGCTGAAGCTATTCCCAGAAGTTATTGGGTTGGGGTGCATACTGGACAATTTGCCGGTCCACTGGCCACATAGAAACAACATTGTCCATTTAGAGCACTAGCCAAATGGTGGCCCAAACTCTAGATCCGGCCCAGAAGCCATCTATTTGCAGACCACGGGCTGCTCGTCCCCTTGTCAGTGGTTAGTTGGATTTTTGAAGCAGTACACTCTTTGAAACTATGGTAGCATTAGAAACCAATGTTTGAAAGACATATGAAAAAGAAAGGTAATATATAATTATAATAAATATTATAAATACATGTGGATGGATTGTGGCTTGACCAACTATACCCGTCCAACTATAAGTGGACCTTGGCCGTTAAGATTTGTATTTGAGTACCCCAGATTTTCAGTTAATACTATTTCCTAATCCAAGTTCTCAGGATGGTGATGTCCATTGTTTCAGTTTGACTCATGCTTACATTCCATTGTTCCTGCCTCGAGATTTTGTGAATAATTTAGGAAATCATAATTGTTCATAGGTTGTTGTGTCATAGGTGGATGATGACATTTACATCATTGAGATAACAGTGGCTTCAGCACACCTTTGCCAAATCACGCATGCAGAAACTATGAATTGGCCTACAATCTGCACCGCACTCATGTGGTTATGCTTTGCATATTATTATTTATTATAACTTATTATGTTAAGGAGAGGAGCAGCAGTGTAGAATAGAATTTACCTTTAAGTCATGCAGTGACAATGTGGGTGGCTAAATAGGATGCCCCCCGAGCCTGTCTGTTATGGAATCAGATTACCCTTTTCTCATCTCATTAACTATGTCAGGACATTTGACACACACATTCATCTGGTTGCTCCTCTAGGGCCACACAAGGCAAATTCACGGTTTCTGTTCTGCAATTATTAATTATATAGCAGGTTCAGATTTAAGACATTCAGTTTCATTTGATGATGATGCCTAGAGAATTGCAGTTTGTAAATGCAGAGGCTGTGATTAGTCTTGATCTTTGAAAACTGTTTAAAGATTAACACTTTTGGAAATGAAAGAATTCTCTTGGCAGGCTTGAGATTAGACTTAAAATTATTTTGAAAAAAAGAAAATGGTGGATAAATAAATTGAAATATTCAGGGATTATGTTAAAAAAAACCTTAGAGATAATGTGATTAGCCTGTCTACAAGAAATTTAGGGGGAAACTTGCCCCCTGTTGTGATAGTTTCGAAATGGATCAGCTTGGTTAAATTGTTTAACCCAAACACGGTATATGGGTATATGAGGAATTTGCATTTCTATCTAAAGATGTATGTCTTGTTTTGTGTGGTTGTTCCCTCTAGGAAGTGAGAATAATAGAAATGTGGCTAAAGGATGCTAACTGG